CATATAGGTAAATTTCTGGATTGTGTATAACTTCAAGACTATTTCATCAGGGACTGAAATAAAGAAGATAGCATCACTGACAAGTCTCAGGGAATGAAAATGTGACCAAACTGTGGGAGTGTATGAACTATGGGAATTTTTCATGTCACAGTAGTCATATAAGAAAGCAACTTTTGTACAACCATCTGTTAGCATCATCTATAGTATCTATAGTTTGATTGTCAGACAGCTTTTTTGTTAAGTCTCCCACAGTTCCATGAGCAGAGAAATTATGGTGACAGGGATGAAAGATATTTATGGTTCCAAAAACAAGGTAGTTTCCTCAGTGACACTTGATTTAAGTACTGCTTAAATTATTGCTTAATTTCCAAAAGCCAAAGGCAGGTACTGTGCCTCAAAATGGAACCATTTTTGTGGAGTCAGATAGCCAATTGAAGAAAATCATTTATATTTGATCAACTCTAACTATGAGGAAGCAGTAACTTTTTACTTATAAGAGTTGACATGGACTCAATATATGGGATTGCTCTATGTACAGTGTCTTCACCAGCACAACATTTTTAAATGCCCTTTGCATCATTGTATCTTGGTACAAATATAGCCTGCAACCAATGTGTAGAAATGGACTTCTTTCTATAGGTCTTACTATGAACCCTAACACTTGGGGATACACTGTTGGACTGTAATGTTGAACATCATTTAAAACACTAGTATCAGTTTATGAAGCATCCCTCTTGGATCTTGTAACACCTTGAATAAAAAAATCTCAATATATGAAACGTTACTCTAGCTATAAAAGACACCTGGCAAGACCAAAGGATTGAAGGAAGGGTGGAAAGTCTCCCTCTCAAAATCACAGTTGGAAACACACTTTTGGAATTTTTCTTCCTACTCCAATATTATATTCTTCTGGATTGTGATCTCTGTTTTCCAAAAACTGGAATTATGAATTCTGCTTAGGGACACAATATTACCTTCTACTAATTTTAAAGCTGTGTCTTTTGGGGTCAAATAGGCCAAAAAGGAGTAACTGTGTTGGCCAAGGTAATAAAAGAATATAGCCACAACTGGGAGATGATGGAATCACAGGTTTCTGCCTGGTTCTCACTATCCAAGGTGCAACCAAAAGACCAAACCCTTTGGAGATGATGATCTTGATCACACTACCAAATAAACCAGAGGAGCCAAATTGATAGCTGATGATGAGCCTCTTCTACTGTGTTTTCTAAGCAAAGTTGATTGGCTAGTCTCTTGAAGGAAAATCTGATCAGAAATTACTTCATGGTGATTAAGTGGGGTGACTACTACACTTAGGGGAAATGTAGACCATATATAACCAAAATTATATCGAAGGTCATGATAAAAGTATCTAAATGACACATGGAAGAGAGAGAATTTGGCAAGGTTCTGTCTGTGTGATCATTTCATTTCCTCAATGTCTTCTTGTCTAATCTTTCTTTGGGATTCCAAGTTCATATTCCCACACACTATTGAACTTGAAATAAATAGAATATTATTGAGCACCAAATTCATAACTTTCTAATTCAACATGCAGTGCTCCCATTTAGTCTGGGATCTCTGCCTCCCTGTACACTTAATCTTATTGAGTCAAAAATATGAAAAAGAAAGCAGCTGAGTGTCCTTTTATCCTAAATTCTCTCTTCCATGGACAATTTTGAGTTGAAGTTATTTCATCTAACCCACAAAGTAATTCGATGTTTTGCTCTATACATGATTGTAATATGTCTTTGTTTGCCTCCTTTGCTTTATTTTTTCCTTATTGTTGTTTTTACTTTTCCCTCTATCATCTCTGCACAGTATGTGTCCACTCCAAAACCAGGGCCACTATTCTAATCTGTTTTGAGTTCAAGAAAACCAAATTGTTTTTTCCAAGATTGATAAAATTGAAACACATCTCAAACATTCAATCAAGAATTTTACAACACAAAGACTATTATAACAAAAGGAAAGAATTCTCCAGAGAAACAGAACCAATAGGTTTGTACATTTATAGAAACAGATTTATTTTTGAGAATTGGCTCATGTGATAATGGAGTATGGCAAGTCATCTGCTGTGGGAGCAGGCAGGCTGGTGCGGGAGAAAGTCTACCAAGGCCATCTGCTGTAGAACTCCTTCATGACCAAGGACATTCAATCTTCTGTTCTTTTGAATCTTCAACTAATGTGGTCTACTCACATTGTGGAGGGCAGACTGCTTTACTGGGTCCACTAATTGAAATGCTAACTTCACCTAAATACACTCTTACAAAAAACATCTTGAACAA